GATTTGGAGTGGTTATAAGTAGCAGTCAGGAAGCCAGAAAGGGCCCAGGGGAGTGGGGGTGGGGCATAAGGGGTGAGGGGTAGCGGGACATGCCTTATATGAAGCAGAATGCTTGGGGAGTAGTTAAAGGTTTGAATGGGAATTGGGGGTACAAGTAAGAGGAGGAACTTAACAAGCATAGTTAAGGCTGTACGAAAACCCTACGGCAACCCATGACTTCATAGGCTAATTTAAAAAGAGGGATTATGAACACAGGTACCTATGAGAGTAAACAATGCTCCCCAAAGAACTGTTTGTTGTTGTTGTTGTTGTTGTTTGATTATTTTAATGAAAACCTCTGTAAGGATTCAGGCGTTATGCTGACCCGCCCCTGTCACCTGGCAGAATGCATTCAGGCAGTACCCTGGTCAGCCCAGGGTTCCATGGGTGCATAGACTGCACGCAGGTGCAAAGGACCCCTTTAAAAGACAGACTCCTGACCATTTACACTCTCTTTCTGGTTCCTCTCTTTCCCGCTGTTCCTGTGGAGCAGACAGGACTTTCCCTGGCTACATACAAATCTTGTGGAGGCATTTTCTCAATTGAGGCTCCCTTCTCTCAGATGATTTTAGCTTGTGTCAAGTTGAAATAAAAACCAGCCAGCACATACTGTAAACCTGCCCCAAAGCCCACAGCTCAGGAAATACAGGCCCTAGTGAGGAACCTACTGTTTGCTAAGTGGCATGTCAAACTGCCTTCTAAATATCTGCACTTACAGACTAGAGCTGCTCGTAGCCTCACCCAGGGAAGCTCCCCTCTGCAGTCATCAGTAGAGACGCGAAACTGGTCCAAACACTGAGAATAAGTGACAACTGCTTGCTCAATCCTAAATGGCACATCCTTATCAACCTCCTCACCACGGCTCAAGGAGCACCCTGGAGGAGGGCAAAAGGAACGAGCCACCGGAGGACGGAGAGGAGCGCAGTGAGATGAACCGGAAGACGGGGAGGAGCTCAGTGAGATGACCTGGAGGACGGGAGGAGCTCAGTGAGATGAACAGGAGGACGGAGAGGAGCTCAGTGAGATGAACTGGAAGACGGGGAGGAGCTCAGTGAGATGAACAGGAGGACGGAGAGGAGCTCAGTGAGATGAACTGGAAGACGGGGAGGAGCTCAGTGAGATGAACAGGAGGACGGAGAGGAGCTCAGTGAGATGAACTGGAGGACGGAGAGGAGCACAATGAGATGAACTGGAGGATGGGGAGGAGCTCAGTGAGATGAACTGGAGGATGGGGAGGAGCTCAGTGAGATGAATCGGAGGACGGGGAGGAGTGCAGTGAGATGCTGTTTCCTGACCATGTCCTAGCCATTGCACTTCTGAGATTACTGTATGGTATCTTGCACAAGGTCAGTCATTCCAGCAGGCAGCACTGATGGGACTCAGGATTACAAAGAAGAAAAAAAAAAGGAAGAACAGGAAGTGGAGGGGAATGTGTTGGGGTGTTTTGGCAGTAGATGATGATATATTCTGCTGGGTAGTGGTGGTACACGCCTTTAATCCCAGCACTTGGGAGGCAGAGGCAGGTGGATCTCAGTTAGTTTGAGGCCAGCTTGGTCTACAGAGGGAATGCCAGGACAGCTAGGGCTGTTTCACAGAGAAACATTTGTCTTGAAAAACAAAAAACAAAAAACAAATAAATTCTCTACACATATGAAATTATCAAAGAATAAATAACCGGCCGGAGAGATGGCTCACTACCTAGCACCTAGTACCTAGCACCTACATGAGAGCTCAATCATCTGTATCTCTAGTTCCAGGAGGTCCACTACCTTCTTCTGGCCTCTGCAGGCCCTGCATGCACACAGTACACAGACCTATATGCAGGCAAGACAGTTGTACACATAAAATTTTAAAAAACTTAAAATAGGAATTTTTAAAGTTACTGTAAAGATTCCAGTCCCCAAGACATTGTGATGTCAGCAGAAGCATCAAGTGTTCAAGCAGACAGAGCAGTGAGCCCAGAGATAACCTCACAGGTGATGCATGTGTTTGAGAGAGAACCAAGGCAATACAGTGAAGTGAAGGCGAGCTTGTCGTCAGCTGCATGACGGCAGCAGCACATCCATTTGCACAGAGAGGAATCTAGATGCAGAGCCTATGTCCTTCAGAGAATGTACTCAAGGGACATCATGCCAAGGTGTAAAGAGAGATCCACAGAGCTGTCCTTTGGCGTGTGTGTGTGTGTGTGTGTGTGTGTGTGTGTACGTACGTACGTACCTCCACAGTAATAATAAGAGACAGCTCAATTTCAAGTCCACGTGGATCTGGTGCTTCTGGGCTCTGGGGGCACCCACATACATGTGCACACACCCATACACAGAAGCACATATAATTATTGGTATGTGTGGTCACAGGAGACCCTGGCCAGTACCTATGACTCAGGGCTTCCTGTGAAGCATTCTGCTGCTGTTCCCCTTAAACCTAGACTAGGACAGGGGCAGGGGGACACTGTTTGCGTGGGTGAGCAGGTACTCTAAAGGGACAAATGGACCCTACTCACCCTGAAAACTACAAACCATGAAATTCAGTCAGGTGAAGCTGGGGTGTGGTGGCTGCAGGAGGCAGTCAGAGCAATAACTAATTTTGAGATGAGTAAACAGGCCCCTTTGTGGATGGCAGGGGTGTCTGGATAAGTGTGACAACTGTGGAACTTTAAACAGCTTCTTGGCAGGCTGGTTCAGGGCCAGCAGCCAGTGCCTGCAGAGGAAGTAGGTCCTTACACTCCTGCTCTTTGGACAAAGGCTGGGCTTCCTGTGGCCCAGTGACTTCACATCTGAAGGGTATGTTGTTGGGGACTGGACTGTCTCTTTAGGAACAACAAGTCCAGTTCCATATCTACCTCTCGAAAGCTGTGTGACCTTGGAGGGGCCAGTCTAACTGACCCCTTTGCCACTCAATTTCCTGTGACAAGAATGGAAACTGTAAAGACTAAATTGCACATAGGTAATGTTGAAAATCTTAGCCATGCTTCTTTGGTCGTGTCCAGGTGCACATGCAGGCGTGTGTGTGTGTGTGTGTGTGTGTGTGTAGGTCAGAGGTCAACCTGTGGGTCAAAACTCCTTTAGGGGGTTGAATGATCTTTTCACAGGGGTTTCCTACGACCATCAGAAAACAAGGATATTTACAATTCATAACAGTAGCAAAATTACAGTTATGAAGTAGCAATGAAAATCATTTTATGGTTTGGGGTCACCACATCATGAGGAACTGTATTAAAGGGTTACAGTGTTAGGAAGGTTGAGAACCACTGGCTGGAGTGATGCAGCCATGCAGGACACCTCAGGATTGTGAAGATGCAGAGCCTGACCTATCATCTGAGTCCCTTGCAAGAGAGCAGGATTCTCTTACTGAAGCTGGACCTCATCAGTTCTTGGCTTTTGAACTTCTGGCCACCAGAATCATGAGAGAATGTCGGCTGTTTAAAGCCAGTCAATTTATGGTAGATAGTTATGGTGTCCCAGGCAGGTAGTTTGTCTGCAGCTGGACACGATGGCCCACAGTCACATGCACACCTTGCACACTCACACTGGGGAAGAGTCTCAGCTCCTGTGCAGCCAGTGTGCAAACCAATCAAACTGATGACATAAGCTTTGCCCAGAGACCAAGGGCCATCTATAGTTCCCTATGATTGTAGGGAGAGCATGGGGACTTTGGTAGCTGGAGCCTTGGATCTCTAAATGGGCTGATGATCATAGATGGGCAGGAAGGACAGGCTCCAAGTCACAGGCTGTGAAGGCTACCCTCTCCTCTTGGCATCCAGAGCCTCTGTACAAGTCACAGGTAGCACAGGGCTGGGATGTGCTGTGTGGGATGCGGATGTGTGTGGGTAAATGTCTATGTGAGGGAGTGTATGTGAGAGCACTGTCCTTGGTGGCAGATGCTTCTGGATGTAGAGTTTGCCAGTGAGTAAGTGTGAACAGGGTAGTGGTACTGTGAGGATGTGGCTACACAAGGGTGCACCAGTGTGTCTGTCCGTGTACGCTGGCATCAAGTGTGTGACCTCATCGGAATTCACAGAGATAGAATCAGTGAAATCATACCAAGCAGACAAAAGAGAAGACGCCACTTGGTTTCCCCATTCAGAGACCCCTGTGGTGGGAGTGCACGAGAGCATTCATAGAGCACACTCCTGGGATCAGATCCCATTAGCTCCTGCTGACTGGATGAGTAGGCTGCAGCCTCAGTTTCAAGGTGACAGGCTGGTACCTTGCATGGTTCGATCTAGGGATGGGAGTTGAGAAACTGGGTGACAGGGTAAGAGCTTTGCCCGCCCCCCCCCCATGTGCATTCCAAGCTGAGAGGGTTCAGGAAGGGTTCGATGAATCTGAAGCTCATCGGTTCTTGATTTTTGAACTTCTGGCCACTTTTCAACTTCTGAACGTCTCAACGTTTGAAGAGGGTTCACTGACCCGTTCCAGGCGACTTCCTTCCTTTCTAGGCACCTTGGCTATCCTGGAGTGACCTGGCTCTGCAGACCTGCTCCGCCCGCTGTGTGTCTCCCAGGGGAACCCTGGAAGACGTCAACACAAACTTGAACTTGACCCAGGGCGAGGGGTGTGCCCGCGACAGAGGAGCCCACCTTCCCGCCCACACTGTATTCTATCTGAGAGCCGCCGGACGCGACACGGCGAGGACTGAGCCTTTTTGCAGACACCGGGAGGGCAGCAATCGGTAGTGAATGCCAAACCCGAGTTCAGCCGCACCGAGGAGCCGCGGTGACGTCAGGCGGCTCCGCAGAGAAATTTCTAATAGGAGGAAGGGCAGCGTTTGAATCAAGGCTCCGAGTCCCGCACTGCGTGCGTCCCGCGACTGTTGCAGCTCATCCCTCTGTAAAGCGGGGCCACCCCTGCCTCGCTCGGGAAGCATCCCGCTCCTGCTGTCTTCGCTCCTCTCTGTAGTTGGGTGTTTACAGCGGCCCCTTGGTTACGGCGCCACGCCCTCGGCGGGGCGCGCACCCGGAAGTGCCGCTACGGAAGTTGGCGCGGCCGCTTCACCATGGCGACGGCCGCCTCGCGGCGCTTCTGTCGCTGCGCCTGCTTCTGCTCTCAGAACCTGTACGTGGCGCGCTACGGGCTGCACCTGCGTTTCCGGGACGAGCAGCAGCTACGTCGTGACTACGGTCCGGTGAGTAGAGGACAGAGAACGCTGGAGGGACCCGGGCGCCAGGACCGGCTGTGCAAACCGCGTCTGCACACTTGGCCTCTCGCTGCAGCGTGGCGGCTCCCCCCCCCCGCCACTCTCATCTCCGAGACAGGGGTGGGGGGCGCTGAGGCTCGTAGATGTTTATTGACAGGGTCAGGTAGTACTGCTAACTGACCTTTCTGCTCGCAGCTCCTGCGCAGCCGCGGCTGCGTCACTCCCAAGGACTTCCAGCAACTCTTGGAGGAGGTAACGCACCCCGCCAGCCCTTCCCCTGGAGCCCTTCACTCAGAAGGACGTCTTAACCCTCTTTTCCCAGTTCCTGCTTCCACTTAACTCCCATTCCTAAACCCTGGCCCAGGAGAGGGATTGAGGAAGACCAAATTGCCTACAGCGCCCCCTTCTCAACAGCTGAGTGGGATAGTGTAGGGCCACCACCGCCGTTTCAGCTGTCAGGACACCTTGACACCTGCAGTGAACCCTGGCAAGTTCATAAGTATAGAGACTTACCTTCCAGCCTAGGCCCCACTTTGGTCTTCCTGGGCCTCCCTCACGGCATTGGAGGTAAGTAGTCCCGGTTTGTAACTGCCTTTGCTGTTCCAGCTTGAGCAGGAGGTGAGACGTCGCCGCAGGCTGGGGCAGGAATCAGCTGCCAGAAAAGCCCTCATTGCCAGCTCCTACCGCCCAGCGAGGCCTGACATCTACAGCTTACTGCAGGTACTAGGTCGGCCTGAGATCTTTGAGGCTGGCTGAGGAGAAGGCTGCCCTGGTGGGGGACTAACTTTTCACAGCTGTCCCGTGTTCTGCCCCAGGATGAGGCTCTGGCCCCTGAGTTTGTGGCTGCAGCTGAATATAGTGCATCTCCGGGTGCAAGCTTTGAGGGCCTTCTCCAGTGGCTGGAGATAGTGTCAGGTGAGGTCTTTCAACTCCATCACCAGCCCGCACTTTGGGGAGGTAATGGAAGCCTGAGATACCTGGGTATGGGAGGTGGGGTGCTTTACCTCTGGTCTCTGGCCTTCCCACCAGGAACTGGGAAGGCCAGTGGGACCAGTCTGCCAGGGCATCCCTCTTATTCACTAATTCATCCATTCACTCCTTCATTCATTGATCATCCAGATAGGATCAGGGCATTGTAAAGAGGGGACAGGCTTGAGGCAGCAAAATGACAAGTTGGCTCATGAGGAAGTTGAATGGGAGCTCCTGGCCCACTCTCTGCCCCTCCTTCTTCAGAGCAGAAGCGCATCTACCGGGTGCCGGTGTTCTCGGTGGGGTTCTGCCAGGCCCTGCTGGAGGAACTGGAGCATTTTGAGCAGTCGGACATGCCCAAGGGAAGGCCCAACACCATGAACAACTATGGGGTGGGTGAGACCTTGCCTGTGTACCCAGGGAGTGAGGGGGCCAGGGTGAGAGACTCATCAGAGGTGCTGCAGGCAGGCTGCCTGCCTTGCTCTGACCCCAAAGAGTACCATGAAAGCAAACAGCTCTTGCACTTAGTAACATTTTTGGCAAAGAATTGTGGGATGCAGGTTGAGGCTTCCCCAGTCTTCCTGTTGACGTCTGGGAATCCTTCTTAGGTACTGATACACGAGCTAGGTCTAGACGAGCCACTGGTGACACCGCTTCGGGAGCGCTTCCTGCAGCCACTGCTGGCCCTGCTGTACCCAGAGTGTGGCGGGGGCCAGCTTGATAGCCACCGTGCCTTTGTGGTCAAGTACGCACTGGGCCAGGACCTAGAGCTGGGCTGCCACTACGATAATGCTGAGCTCACCCTCAATGTGGCTCTGGGCAAGGTCTTCACAGGAGGTGCCCTATACTTTGGGGGCCTCTTCCAGGTGAGTGAGTCCCACCGTGTAGGGCCCTGGCAGTTATGAGTACTCCAGCCTAAACCCTACCATCTGCAGGCACCTGCAGCCCTGATGGAGCCCCTGGAAGTGGATCATGTGGTGGGCCAGGGTATCCTGCACCGTGGTGGCCAATTGCACGGGGCTCGGCCCCTGGGTACTGGAGAACGCTGGAACCTTGTCATCTGGCTCCGGGCGTCTGCTGTCCGAAACCACCTCTGTCCCATGTGCTGCCAGAAGCCAGACCTGGTGGATGATGAGGGCTTTGGTGACGGCTTCACCCGGGAGGAGCCTGCCACAGTAGATGTATGTGTACTGACTTGAGTCTGGTTCCCCCAGAGGTGTTGGTGCCATGGCAGTAGAAAACTGCCATCTTGGGCAGGGAGGGTAGGAATAAACTCTGCAGCCATGATACTCCTTGGATCAAAGGGACATGCTGACTTCTGGGTCACTCTTTGGACAGATGAGCTGTTGTAGGGCAGAGCTCCTGAAAGACAAGCCTAGATTGAGATGAAGTATTGAGGGTTGAGGGTGGAGCAGGCCCAGCAAGGGAAGGAGCCCCAAAAGGATGTGTTTTCCAGTGATGTCCAGCCTCAGCCTGACCCCTGGGGAGCTCTGACAAGGGGTGGGGGGACCCAGTCAGTGTCTCCCAGGGATTTAAGTGGATTCATTGGTCTATCCATGGTGCTGGGGAGTCGGTATCCAGACTTTCTGGGTACCTGTATTCAAGCCTCTGTTCTGGCACATCCAGCTGTGAGGTTCTGGACTTGCTTGCACACTGGGTGTAGTGACACTCCAAAGAGTTGACATTTGTAAAGCACTTTATTTATTTTTGATGTTTCGAGACAGGGTTTTCTCTGTGGCTGTCCTGGAACTAGCTCTTGTAGACCAGGCTGGTCTCGAACTCACAGAGATCCACCTGAGTGCTGGGACTAAAGGCATGGGCCACCACTGGCTATAAAGCACTTTAATAATAGTCCTCTGTGTCCTATTATTTAAGACCTTGCAACTGTGGTTTGGAGATTGGAGGATGGGTGCACATAGCTGTGCCCTGTTGGGGTTATGTATTCCTGGGACTTCTCCTGTAAGCCTTGAATTCTAGGTACTATGGGAAAGTGGTAAGATACAGAAACACCTGCCTTCATTTTCACTGCAAAAATCAGGTGGAGCAGGGACTCAGCTGCACATGGGACAGGCCGGGGAATCATGCTTGATGGCAGCTGTATTTGCCATCTCCACTGAGAGATGTTGGAAACACCAGTCTTCAGTCTGGTGGAGCCCATAGGCCGGCAGCCTATTCAGGGGAAACAGTAGGAGGATGGCTTTCAGGAGAGTGAGAGGCCCGAAGGTTTGTGGCTGTCGCTGGGCCACAACCCATCTCCCACCCATGCAGTAGAGGCACAAGGTGGATCCCTTCCTGTTTTAAGTGGGCGTGTCAGAAGAGGAACCCAGAGTCCGGAACTAAAGGCAGCCTGGACTTAAACTATACCCGGATGGTCTTCCAGGAAGGACCCATCCCGGAAGTGGACTGTAAAAACTCAACTAGCTGCTGTTTCCTCTCGAAGAGGCAGTCTGTAGACTGGTGGTTGGCGCGAGAATCTGGTGGCCCTCGAGACTCATCTCTGGGCAGCCAGGCCGCCTCTTGCAGTTGAGGAAAGCGGAGGAATTTCCCCACGAAGCAGAGTCCAGTGCGCAGGCGTGTGGGTGGGGCTGGCTCTTAAAGGGGCCGCACGGTGCGGAATCGGTGGAGCTGGTGTCGCCAAGCGCGAGGCTCTCAGGCGGGAATGGGTACTAGGTGCCCCGAGGACCAGGCCCCGTTGGCACCGAGCTTGGATCTACTCTGCGGACGTGCCCAAGAAGAGCCGCAGGTCAGAGTCGCCCCTTCCGGCCTCTAGCTCGCCTTGCTATGGCTCACGTTGGCTCTCGCAAGCGCTCGAGGAGTCGCAGTCGGTCCCGGGGTCGGCGGGGGTCAGAAAAGCGAAGTAAGAAGAGTAGCAAGGACGCCTCGAAGAACTGCTCAGCCTCCAAGTCCCCAGGTCACAAGGCCTGCAGCACCTCTGAGGGTGAGCACCACAGAGACGGGAGAGGGGTGTGAGGTGTCTGTCGGCCTGTCCCGAGGGAGCGAGGGATTAGGTAGAACCTGGACTGAGGCCCGCGGATGCGGATGCGGATGCGGCGGAGGCTCGGTTGAGTGGTGGGTGCTTCAGTGCACCGGGTCTTTGGCCTGGCCACCCTGCCAGGCACACAGTGACTTCTAGAACCCCAAAGAAGGTTCGGAATGTGCTCTTGGAGAGCCGGTTGGGAGGGTCCTACCAAACAGAGGCCTGAGCCTGCCCCAGGCCAAAACGGCACAGAGGCCTTACCTTCTCCCTGCATCACAGAGAGAAGCAAGCACAAGGCCCGGAGGACAGCGAGGTCCAGCTCTTCCTCCTCCTCTTCCAGTTCTTCCAGCTCCGCATCGTCCTCATCCTCCAGTGATGGCCGGAAGAAGCGGGGGAAGAACAAGGATAAGAAGAGGAAGAAGAAGAAGAAACGGAAGAAGAAGCTGAAGAGGAAAGGCAAGGAGAAAGCCGTGGTGCTGCACCCGGCTGAGGCTCTGCCCGGCCCCTCACTGGATCAGTGGCACAAATCAGCCGGGGAGGACGATGGCCCAGGTACCGTGTGGGCCCACATGTGGTGGGAAGAGGGTGCTCTCTCCAGGTCTGATACCCCTTCCGTATTCCCTTCCAGTCCTGACTGATGAGCAGAAGTCTCGTATCCAGGCCATGAAGCCCATGACAAAGGAGGAGTGGGATGCTCGACAGAGTGTCATTCGCAAGGTGGTGGACCCAGAGACAGGTCGTACAAGGTGTGTGGGGCAGCAGGCACAGCCAGCTAGTCCTGCTTGCAGTACAGTCAGGAGTATCTGCCCAAGATGTGCTCTTGAGGGTGGGGGAGCTGCAGCTACTTCTGTCACAAAGTATGGGGAAATAGTTACTTGAGATGTGACATCCCAGCTATTATCCCCTGTGCCCCGTTGAGTAGTGCCAGGACTGGAAGGGCCTTGAGACTTTTCAAACGGTTACTGTGACAAAGGAGAGCCTGCCTGGACGTCTCCATTCTGGCCTAAGTGGTGGTTGGGAAGAGTGGCCAGAGATGGCCGGGCTTGCCTTGGGTGGTTTTGGTTCTGTTGCTGTGGGGTGAGTCCCAGACTCTTTCTTGCTGAGCTGATGCCCTCTGACCCCCAGGCTCATCAAGGGAGATGGTGAGGTTTTAGAGGAAATCGTAACCAAAGAACGACACAGGGAAATCAACAAGGTTGGTGTCACTGCTCTGGCTATGCTCTGCCCACGCTGTGTCTACACTCAATATCTCATGCTTCTAACCTGTTTTCTTCCTCAGCAAGCCACCCGAGGGGATGGCCTAGCCTTCCAGATGCGAGCAGGCCTGCTTCCCTGAGGGCCCTGGTTTCCCAGGTCTGTGAACTACTGTTGGTGGCTTGAAGACAGATGGGTCCAATTGCCTTTTCTCCCGTGGGTGGCCTCTGGCCTAGTCCAGCATCCTCTTGGGTGTAGTGGGTAGCTTCCTAAGCACCATTTTGGGAGAGTGTAGTGTCAATATTAAATAATCTTGGTCAGAGTTCCTGTCTTGTTGCTTTCTGTTGCCATTTGACTTCTAGAAAGATGTGCTCATCTTTGGGGAGAGCTGGCATGTCCTCTGGTGGTAGTAAGTTTTAACACCACCCAGCCACCCTGTTCCTCTTCACTTGACTCAACCTGGGCCAGACCTGACCCTACTCTGGCTGAGTCAAACTCAGCCTTGGTCCTTAGGTTGAGCTCATCAGGCCATTGCCTGTGTCCTGTTCCATAGGAGCCTGGCCAGGCAGGAGTCCCAGCTCTGGTTTATTGGCTGTGTCCCCTGGGGAGCAGAGGCCAGCAAACCTACCTCACCAGGTCTGTGCATGAGGGCAGTCAGTTCACAGGTGTGTGCTGCCGTCTCAGTGGTTAGTCAGTGTGTGTCACTGCAGTGGATGTCCCTTTGCATGATACCCTCAGTATCTTGCCCCACCCACACACCAGGAGACCATGGTGCCGCCATAGTAATGAGACCAGAAGGAAGCCTCCTGCTTCTTTAATCGGTGTAACAGACTGTGACACGGTATACAGAAAGCACACTCAGGCCAGACGATGCAGGGACAGCATGGGGTGGGGTCAGGGCACGGTTCACACATCGTCCAGAGAAACAGATGGTACAAGGACACACGGGAGGGGGCTGAGATGTGAAGATATCACAGGGTGGGGTGGTGGGCAGCTCACACAGAACCAGGAAGGGGATGGGGGTGGGGTTCTTTGCTGAATCCTCCTTTAGAAATCAAAGAGAAGGCAGGTGGTTGGTGCTGGATGGCATTGAGGCTCAGTCCTAGGACTGTGGATGTGGAGGGAGTGACTAAGGCTTCTATTCTAACAGGCCTGGGGTGGGTGGCAGGTGACAAGGTCTGCCTCACCCTTTGGTTACGAATGGCCAGGCCTGAGCCCTGCAGCTCAGCACCTGACACTGTAAACATTTTTTGGTATTTTTAAGGGACTTTGACCTTCCTCTCAGTCTTTGTAAAGTGGGGCTTCCTTAAGAGAATTAGCCAAAAGGAATCTTAAGGGAAGCAGAGAGCAGACTTGAGCGAGGTTTGGGGGGAGGCTGCCCGTCTCACCATCTATGGCTAAAGGCCCTGGGAGAGCCCCAGGGGACTATTGCTGTTGTCCTTGGCATGGCTGGCGGCTGGGCAGGCAGGGGCATTCAGAGCCACAGTGGGCTGCCCAGGGGGAGAGACCAAGCCCACTGACCCCAGGGCCTCCCTGGCCTTTATTGCAGGTGGCCTGAGGCTTCCAGGTGCTTCTCCCAATGGCTGGTCACCTAGGCTGAGGCAAGACGGGTGTGGTTGAGGGAGGAGGCACTGGCCACTGGGACCCCTAGTGGGGCAGTGATTGTCGGCCAGTAGCATCTTTCAGAGGTGGGGAGGGGGCAGATATTGCACTTTCACTGTGACAGTTCATGGAGTCTTGGTCCATAAAATAATCACTGCTTTATACAGAACTCGACACAACAAAGCCACATCTTAAGGGAAGACCATGAAGGTCTCATCTCTCCAGAAATTTTTTTTTCTCTGCACAAAATAGCTTTCTTTCTGTCTAGGCCCACAATGGCAGGGCATCACTCACTCCTGTGCTGTACACGTCTCTACAGCAAAGTCAGTGTCTCCTGTACACCTACAAGCCTAGTCACTCGCCCCTGAGTCTGAATCCAGCTTTGGCAGCTCCTCAGGCACAGAGCCCTGTCGCTGGACAGCTGGCCTGAGCTGGGTGGGCTTGGCCAGCGCAGGAAAGGTGCAGTGGAATTGTGCTCAGTGCTGCGGGGAAGGCAGGGCTCAGACCCATTATGTGGGACACCTGTCCTTGTTTGGGGAGAAATAAAATGGCTGTCTGCCCTTAAGCTGACGCAGCAAGCTGTGGCTTCTTGGAGTAGACATTCAACGGAATGGCATTAAGAAAACCTAAGAGCTCCACCCGCCCCAGAGTAGGAAGTCGGTGGAATAGTGGGTCAGGTGAGGCGAGAAGCCCACACCTTGCCAAGTGGACCAGGTGCAGGGCCCCAGGCCAGACTGAGTGGGACCCTGTCACAGTGCTGGGTGTCCTAATGTAGCAGGCTGCACTGACACTGAGTTAAGAAAAGGAAGCAGCCATGGATTGCCTGTTAAAAAAACCTTATAGAAACCAGATGGAGAAGTAGAAAGGCGTAGAAACTCGACGGGCAGCAGCCATGGCATGGGGCCCCAGCCCATGGCAGGCAAGGAGGTGGAGGTGGAGGCCAGGCTTCTGCAGGCCCAGCTGCCCAAGGTGGGTTGCCAGGAGGTGGCTATGCACTTTGCTGGCCTCGAGCCTGTGCTGTGGTCAGGGCCTGGAGTGACACCAGTCCTGTGGCTGCACTGAGCTCTGGGTAGGGCAGGTGGACAGGTGGGCAGCAGTCTGGGACTACCACTGGGCTGCCGTAGTGCTGGCAGGCCAGGTAAGCGGCAGAAATTAAGATATAGCCTTTCTCTCCTGCTTGTGTGAAGATTTGCCACACTGGAGTATTCTGTGTAGTGACAGGTCCTGGATCAGCAGACACTGGGTTTCATGCATGTCAACATGTCTGGAGCCAGAAGAGGTGGTAAGGGGTCTCCACTCTCAAAAACCAGTGCAAAACCAGTGAGGTTGGACAGTTGAAAACTGGAGTCAACAAGAAGCAGGCCAGACCCCCACTGGAGCTGCTACCAAATGGGAAGGGGCGCCAGTGGACAAGGAGGTGGCGGGCTGGGCTTAGACCATGCCTGGCACCAGGAGGCTGAGAGGCCAACACAGGGCAAGATGTCCAGGAATGCCTCCTGGGCTGGGCTAGGTGGCCCATCCTGGTTCCTCTTCCAATATGGGCTGGACATCCTGCCAGCTTCCATGACAAGCTGGGCTCCTCAGAGCCTAGGGCATGAGGCAAGGCTGGGAGGACTGTGTTGGCATGGCCATGTCTTCCAAGGGGTCCTGGGATAAGCTCTCAGGCCATGTCTGTGCTTGTCTCCAGCCACCTATGTGTGCCCAGGCCAGGCCTCCCAGTGGGGCCGGTGCCCTGGCCTAGCACCATGGAGACCACAGCGGCTCCTAACGGTGTCCTATTTGGGTCCTGTGGCTGCCCCTGGTTCCAGCC